GTGTGCACGAGCTGTTGATAGGCTCGTTTTTTTTTTTTTTTTTTGAGGGAGGGGTGGAGAAAAGAGGAGAAGACCTTTGAAATGGTCCTGGATGTAGGTGTCTCCATTGCAGCCCTGCCAATGAAGGCAGGAAGAATCCCCTGATGGGTGGGTGTGTGCTGGGGAAGGGAAGAGGGAGCCTCAGAGGTGATGTCCATCCAGATGCCACCTGCCAGGGCGAGAGATGAGTCTGGGGAGGTGGTGAGCTCCTGAGGGGAGCCTCCTCTTCTCATTTTGGGTGGACAATCTCCTCGCCCTCCAGCCGTGAGATTCTGGGATGATTGAAGGACCGAGCAGCTCCAGCCCTGTCATCTCACCTGGGACATCCAGATGGTTTTGGTGATTGTCTCTTCTCAGAACCGACACAGGTCCGTCTGGTGAATGGCTCCAGCCGCTGCTCAGGGCGAGTCGAGGTCCACCACAACCAGAAGTGGGGGACAGTGTGCGATGACAACTGGGACCTGAGCGATGCCGAGGTGGTGTGCTGGCAGTTGGGCTGCGGGCTGGCTGTGTCAGCCCCTGGCAGGGCTCCATTTGGGCAAGGACACGGTCCCATCTGGCTGGACGAGGTGAACTGCACAGGGACGGAGGGTGCCATCACTGAATGCAGCTTCAAGCCCTGGGGAGCCCATAACTGCCACCATGGTGAAAATGCAGGTGTCGTGTGCTCAGGTAAGCCTGGTCCAGGTCATGGCTTCAGGGAGAAGTTTTTCTGTAGGTACACTTGTGTCTAATTTCAGTTTGCTTCCCTCTCTGCGCACGGTGTGTTCCTTTGGGTATAACTCCACTGCAAGCAACTGTCAAAAATGCTTGGGAGGTGAGGTATCTCTGCTTCTGTAGGCATCATATCAATGGACTATCTGGATGCAATCCTGTGCATTTGTGGTAATCTTCTATCACGCCTTAAAATGTTGGTTCTCAAGTGGCTTGTTACGCCCATCATGCACCCCTGCTTTGGATGTTGAAGTGCCTGTTGTCAGAGGAGGCATTTGGCCATCGATGCTTGCCATGCATGGCTGCAGGCTTCTCCATATCTATGTCTCAAGCTTCTTCTGGATCTCTAGAGGTAGTCCAAGGTGGAAAGACATCCCTCCTCATCTCTCCAGCTTGTAATGGGATGCCAGCCCTGTCTTACCAGAAGAGAAAAGCTGGGTGACTTCAGGGAATATTTGCAAGGAGCTGCAGTAGAGCAGAGCAGGCAGAGGAGCATTATGGAAAGACTCTCCTCCTTGTCAGAGCCAAGCCAGTCGGCCATAATATGACTAGAGTAAATAAATGCAGGTTTTTAAAGTCTTTCCTCTTCAGATGTGTTCTCCGAGGGAGTAGTCACCCTAGCAGACCTTTGAATCACACTCATAGTTTGGACGTGGGTATCCCAGAGTCTTCTTGGCATTGCCCAAGGGAAACGCTCTCTGTGAGGCATCCCACAGTGTTTCTACCTTCTCCTAAGTACAATCAGGTCTTTCTGTTGTTTCCAACTGAAGATGCTGATGTGGATGGGGGAAGCACGATTATGCACTTGTACCTTGTATGGTTGCACATCGTCGCCAGCACCAGCAGGGCATCTAGTTCAGAGGGCCGAGGTACACCAATATCTCCCTTTATTCATTTTTGTCATTCCCCCTTTAGACCCCAAGGAGCTACGGCTGGTGAATGGCCCGAATCGCTGTGCTGGGCGCCTCGAGGTGCTTCACAACCAGCAGTGGGGGTCTGTGTGTGACAACGGCTGGGACATGAAGGATGCCAAAGTGGTGTGCCGACAGCTGGGCTGCGGCGCTCCGATATCTGCTCCAGGCTGGGCTAGGTTTGGCAGGGGCTATGATCCCATCTGGCTGGAGACAGTCAGCTGCAAAGGGACAGAGACTGCCCTTACCGAGTGCGGAACCCAGGTGTGGGGCATCCACAACTGCCACCATGGGGAAGACGCCAGCGTGGTGTGCTCAGGTGACTCTCTCACCACATTCCTCCTCTGTGTCCGTAGAAAGAGCTGTGCCACCACCAAGCCATAGATCCCTTTGCTCCAGGGGGCAAGGGAGTGACAATTCCTTTGACAGTAATAAAAACAATGCTAATAGTGGTAGTAACTGCAGTAATGACAAGGGGTGCGAGGGCGATCCCAACACTGCTGCTTCTTCCACCATCCCTAGCTCATTTTTAGACCAAGTGGATAACCACTGATAATCTCCATGCTGTGAATGACCAAGCTGGGTCCCACGGGAATCCTTGTTTTGTAAAGGTGTCATGTCAGGGAGACAAGAAAAGAGGGGGGCATGGTCCTGTGTGAGATTGCATGTCCAGGACGATCTCCAACAGAACTTTCTGAAGGGTTGTTGGTGTCCTTATTTTTCTAGACCCGATGGAAATTCGGTTGGTAGACGGACCAAGCCGCTGCTCCGGGAGGGTCGAGGTGTTTCACCAGCAGCAGTGGGGGACGGTGTGTGACGATGGGTGGGACCTGCGCGATGCCGAGGTGGTGTGCCGGGAGACGGGCTGCGGGGCGGCGATGGAAGCCCCAGGCTCGGCTCGCTTTGGCCGGGGACGTGATCCCATCTGGCTGGACGAGGTGAACTGCACGGGGAGCGAGTCCGCCCTCTCCGAATGTGGGGCCAAGCCCAAAGGAGACCCCAATTGCTACCATGGAGAAGATGCTGGCGCAGTGTGCTCAGGTAGCTGCTCTTCCTCTGCTGGTGAGCTCCTGGGTACCAACACTGCAGGAGCTCCGGGACCAGTTTTCCTTGCTTCTCTCCGAGGGTGTTCTTTCCCCATGGGAATCCTCCTATCTCTGAGGGTGGAGAGGCCCTGGCACAGGTTGCGCAGGGAAGCTGTGGCTGCCCCCGCCCTGGAAGTGTTTGAGGCCAGGTTGGGTGGGGCTTTGAGCAAGCTGCTGTGCTGGAAGGTGTCCCTGCCCGTGGCAGGGGGGTTGGAGCTAGATGATCGGTAAGGTCCCTTGCAACCCAAACCGTTCTAGGATTGTAAGTGCGAGGCGAGGCAAATGCTGAGCCTGTGGGGCTTCCTCCTCCTCCGTCTCACACCCAACACTTGCTGCCTGCGTCAGTCGGTGCAGCAGCACAAGGCGACTCCTGTCTGTCTGTCCATTTCAGAGCCT